TTCTATCTTGATTGGTCCTAGTTTATTTTAATACAAAAGCTTGTGAGTTGAGAGCTCTGTTTTCTACCATTTTAACATAGCCACCCAAGATTTTTTAGTTAAGGGCTTGCATTTGAATGTGAAGAGTGTTATCTCAGACTGCGAGGGAAGGAATAAAGTTCCAGAACAGTAGCAGAGCAGAGTAGGAGAGCAGTTTTGTTCTCCTATCCTGAGAATTAGCGTATTTTCAGTTAGGAAAAATTTGTACAGATTCCTTACTTATAGTGATATGGAGCGATATCCAAGATCTAGTTTTTATAAGTATATACCTTGTTTTGTTTTGTTTTGTTTTTACAATTACGGAATCATTTTTTTCTTCAATATATGAAATTTATTGTCGTATATACATTGTTTAGTTCATAAAATCATTCAAATACCATATTTTACTTGAGGTTTACAACAACCCTGTGGGGTACATTTGGCAACATTATTATTATTCTCATATGTGGAATGTGGAGACTGAGGCTTTGTTGTTTATATGAAAATACATACAGCTTTACATCTTTAAGGTTGTAGATTGTTGCTCTTTGAGATATACCTAATCATTTTGTTGGATGTATGATTGTTCCAGGGTTAAACATGAATTTAGAAAAACAGTTTTGTTTGAGATGGCATCCTTGATTTTATGTTTCCTAAAATGTCATTGAAACCTGATTTTATAAAGGCATACTATGGGAGATTGTTAATCCTGCTTTCATGACCTTGAACTCAACATTTCACACCAGTTGAGTAATTTTGTCCTAGTTGATTTGCCTTGATAACACTTGGACTTTGATAAGAGGGCCAACTGTTTGGTCATTTTGTTTTTAATTTTTTTTTCTTTTTGCCTTAAATTATTTTTAATTTTTTTTTTAACGTTTATTTTATTTTTGAGACAGAGACAGAGCATGAACAAGGGAGGAGCAGAGAGAGAGGGAGACACAGAATCTGAAACAGGCTCCAGGCTCTGAGCTGTCAGCACAGAGCCCGACACGGGGCTCGAACTCACGGACCGTGAGATCATGACCTGAGCCGAAGTCGGATGCTTAACCGACCAAGCCACTCAGGCGCCCCACCTTAAATTATTTTTAATTATAGTGTTTCTTGTTTTCAGTTTTCAAAACTGTTGTGTTGGATGATCACTCAACATCACAAACACAAACACGGTGATTATGGTTGTTTATGATGGAAAAAATCACAATGAAATTTAACTATCCTGTAATAGAAGGTCAAATATGCAACAATCCATATTTGGAATAGTTTTTATAAAGAAGACAAGTACTAGGAATTCAGTAAATACTGGTTAATGCATACAGTTTTGATTAATTTATGAGCTAATTGATTTCCATGAGTTATGCTATTAGGAGGAAAAGATATAAGCATGAGAACATGCTGCTTCTAGGATGATGAGGAGGAAACAGATTATACAACAGTAGGTAACTCTGAAATGAGTAATGTGTATACGTGCTCTTAGTAAAATTCACACTGGCTCAGAGTAAACTCTTGGTATAGAAATTTGGCAGTGATTTACTAAAATTAAGTAGCTTGACCATCTTTTTTGATGCTCTTGGAGTTTTTATTACTATTTTTGCACGATTCTTTTTTATCATTTGCCACATGTACTTTTCTGTCTTTTCTTGATTTGCTAAATGCCAGTTGAGGGGTACAGACAGTAATGCTGTAAATATTGAGGGAGGAGCCCCCATTTACTAAGATATTTGTAAAGGAAGTGAGATCATCTGGATCTTGAAGTAGGACCTACCCAAGCAGATAGTCATATAGAGGCATTCTAAATAAATGGAGTGGCATTAGGAAATGCACTTTTAGGAAATAGGCAGTGTTAAAAAGTAGATAATTTTGATTAGTGCAGAGGGTTTGTGTTGGGCAAGAAATGCTTGAAGAGATAATTTGGGGTCAGATTGTAGAAACTCTTGAATACGTGAAAGAGATTGGGATTTTGTTCTGTAGGTTTATGCCCTTTGAATTGGGGTATACATTCTTGCTATATGAGATCTGCAAGACCACAGGATAAACATGACATATCTTCCAGGAACATAACTTTTTAGAAGATTTGGAGAAAAAATAACTTTCTTTTAAATATGGAGATGATTTATAGAGTAGAATACACAATTCACATGCAATTTTAAGATAAATTGTAAGATTTAAGATAAAATCCTAGTAAGATTCTAAAATTTGTGTTTATATAAAGCCATTTTCATCCCAGCACTGTAAGGAAATGCTTTCATTATCCTCAAGCTGTTAAACTCTTTTAATAGACAAGTTTGAACATCATAGGTCAAAGTAGGATGTAGCCATTGTAAATTTGTTTTAGGAAAATTGAAGGAAGATAGACAAACTTAGGAGACTATTTAGGTAATTTCAAACTCAGGGTAAAAGTGGGTCTTGGTGGGCTTTGGGCAGTAGATATGGGAAGAAATGGTATCATATTAACAGACCTTTCAAAGGAAGATTGTATTCCATTTAGTGGCTTCAGATACAGGAGAGGTGGTTTACAAAGTAGAAAGACAGAGATGTCTTCCAGGTTTTAAGCTTGGATGACTGGAAGCATGATACTACCATTAGTGAATATGCAGAAGTAAGGAGGAGTGTGATAAGGTAGAAAGGAAGGACCAGCAGGGGCAGTAAGGCTTTAATGAGTTTTGATATGTTGAATTTGAGGAGATTATAGGGTATCAAAAGGAGGAATGGCAAACAGGCAATGTAAGAAGGGGAACCAGAGAGAGATCTGGGAATAATATGTAAATTTGGAACTTTACTCATTGAAAATAGAGGAGTCCATGAGAGTAAATAGACTTTCTGAGGATCAGAGTAGAAGAGATGATTGAAGAGTGTGCATTGGCCCGAATATATCACTTACTAGGAGGGAATAGGGCTATAAAAATGCATCCAGGCTAAGGATAATCCTGAGAGTGTAATAGTAGTGTGGAAGTGAAATGAAAGTGAAGTTTGGAAGAAGAATATTGTTTATTAGTAAGTAGCAGAGAGATCCAAGAGAATGTGGACTGAGGAAAGGCCATTTGATTAGACAATTGTGAGTTAGTGGTGTAATTAGAATACTTGGCAAAGTAGTGAGGACAGAAGGACATGATTTGTGAATCATAAAAAAAAATTCTTTCTTTCCAGAATTATCTCTCCACTGAGCATATTTTATATGCAGAAAAAAACTAACTTAGTACTCCTAAAAGGAACAAAATGAAACTTACTGTGTAAGAATTGTAAAAAAAAAAAAAAAAAAAAAAAAAAAAAAAAAAAAAAGGGACGAATAGAAGAAGCAATTGATATATTAAATAATGCATTATTTTGTATTTAAAAGCTTCCAATTCTTTTGTGAAAAAAAGTCATTTTGGCATTCTGGCTCCAAAGTCAATTTTGACAGTTCGGCTGCGGTTTTAAAAACTAAAACCTATTCTTGCCTTTGTTCTTTTGTACTCTTTGGGAACAAAATATTTATGTAGGATCCACATAGATCATACATGTTTACATATGACATGTTATACATATATGACATGTAGAGAAAAATACATAATGCCGAATATTTATTGACTAAGGTAAGTCACTATGTAACTTGGGCATTTTATTCTTTAAAAACTGGATTTAATTCAAAATTTTATTTCCATTTGCTAGTTTCTTTAAAAACTTTATTTAGAAATAAATACTGACAAGTGATATTCTGGTCAGAAGATTGGCATCTTGTAATCCTTGAGGATTAGAATTTAAATGATTTAAATTAGAAATAGCATAATCATACTTCTATTACGTGTCACTAAAAAAACTACAAGAATTTAATTTTCCATATATTAAGGGATGAGTCTTTATTGAATTTGAAAATGTACATACACATCTGTCAGGCTGTTTAAACATTCAACAACTTGTTATGATTTTTTAGTTCTATATGACAACCTACACAAACGTATTAGACTCATACTGTGCCCAGGGAGAATAAATTATTAAACTTTAACTTGATGCTGCAAATACATTCTTTCTCATTACATTCTGACAAGATCCCTTTAAATTGTTTTCACATCATTAAGTGTTAAAACATATAAAATGTATGCAGTATATACATAAGTTAACAAATATGTTACGATACAGTGATACCTGATATTAAAGTCAATATGACCTAATAATCATGATCTACTGCATTTAAGACAGTTAATCTACTTCAATATAGTATTATATCCTGCTTCATTTGACTTCCTAAATAAAGCATACCAAACATTTGTTTCAGATTTTGTTGTAGCAAAATGAAACATCAGTTTTAAAATTAGTATTACAGATCTTCATGTGTACTCTGAACTGACTGAATTTTAATTTTTAAATTAATAATATTACAGAATCTAGGAACTATACAATTATCAGTCTTTTATGTTTATTCAAGTTCAGAATTTTGGCAAGAAAATTTTTTTAACTGAGGAAGTTGTAAAATTAGCTTACATGATGACTTTTTTTTTTTT